CTGTCTGTTGAACATCATACAAAATGCGTGGGATGAGCATGCAGAGAGAAAAAACGGAAGCATAGTCAGAGATAACATTGAATTAAGTGTTTCAATTCCAACCATCCAAAACATTTCTAAACTGGGTTTCTTCCTTGTGCCTTGTCTTCTCCTTCTTCCCAGAAGGTTTGCAGCCAGGTGTGGCCAGAGACTCAAAATGTACATTCAATCACAGACCAAACCTCTGATATCCTTCATTTTCCATTCTGAGAAAACTTGTGGTAACCCTCAACTTGAGGTGCCTGGCTCTTATAACCCAATTAAAGAGAAACGTATGATAGTGAGCCTTGCTGCGTTATTAATACAGCTGACACACATCTTGATCTGTGCAAATTCAAAGGATGTCATATATATCCACTGTATTTCACAACAAACAGCAGACAATCTAGCAGGGCAGGAATTAGTAACAATATCATGGTGTAACGATGCTGCTCGTCAGCTGGTTTACAGCCATATAACTCCATTGTTATGTTTGACGTAGAGCAGTGCTGGCTCTCAGATAATGAGGACCTGAAAAGTGTCTTCCAGAGGCCTATCCCAAACTTCTCAGAAGGGGGGGAGTGAAAGCAACAACTCTGTAATTATTTCTCTCTGAATAATCCAGCTCATCCAATCTTCCTTTAAGCAAAGGTCTCAGGAAAGTACCAATGGAAATCTTGGGAAACCACATAAACCTAAGTGGTTATCAAAATAACATTTAACAAACCTGCCAGGAAACTGGTTTGATTTTGTCATCATCTCTCATCCTAAGCAAGGATCAGACAAACATGGTACTTCATCAAAACTATGGGGTCTGAAGGTGAGGTACTTTGTTCCCTAGATAATTGTCTTTTTTAAAGGAATAAAAAGAGAAAAACTGTACATTTAATGCTCTAAATGACACCACCCCCCCCAACCTAACAAAAAAAAACCCTCAAAAAAGCCTGAAAACCACAAAGAAAAAAAAAAAAAAAACAACAACCAAGAGGATCAAAAAAGAAAAAGCAAAACTATGTAGTGATGCAACAAACACACATAAGAGACTGTTCATGCACGCTATCTATAGAGCAAGGAATATCACTGCAACAAATCAGTAGATCAATATATAACAATGTGTCACCATTCATTCCCTTATGCCCAAAACCTCCCACAATTTTTGAGAGCTATATTTAACACCTCACATGATATTAGTTTCCTGGCTTTCCCCATGCACTCATTGACATTAGTGATACCTCCTTATTTTTCCTCCGTGGGTTGTTTTGCCTAGCCCAATTAGATGGAAGCAAAGACAACAGCAATGTACAAAAAAACCCAACTTTTTTTTTTTTAATTGGAGATTTTCAAAATAATTAAATTACTGCAGCATTAAACTTGCATTCCTGAAGGCCAAAACACTAATTAGGCACAAAATCTGGGCAGAAGACCCACTTTGCTCTCAGCCTTGGTGCTGAAGAAGAAATCTCAGAGGTGAAGATACAGGAGATGGAACACCATCTCCCACAGCAGGTCCCCTCCACCGCCAAGTGGCTGCCTGCACAGTTCATTGCAGAGCCTCCTCTTTCCTTTTCTTACCTGGCTCTTACTGTAGAACAGCCCCATCGTGGTCCTTTCCACGTCCGAGCCAGGTGCGAAACGTGGCAGTGGATGGGTACAGAGGAGTCTCAGCCAGGCAGCTTCTCGTGCTTTAAGCTGCCGAGAGCAGGCAGGCAGGTGTGTTAGTGCCTGACTCAGCACCACCTCACCCCGCCACCACCACTTGAGCAATCCCCAACTCCTCCTCCTCCTCCTCCTCATTGCCCAGGAGGTAAATGCATGCTGCACACCTGCACAGAGGCACAGACACGCACGCTCTGGCAGTGCAGAAGGATGGTCTTTGCAGAGGGGCATTGGGACCTCAAAAGGATCTTCCCTTCACAGTTATGGGTACTGAGCAAATGTCTTATACTTTTAAGCATCCCCATCCCTTCTTGAGGAGGCTACAGTGCTTTTACACACAGCAGGGCAGTCAAACTGCAGTCTGTTGTGTGGAGGTGGCTGATGCCAGCCAGGGTCCAGCTGGCTGCCCAGGAGTGGGCAACAAGGACTTCTTTGGCCAAGGACATCTGAACAAACCAATGTGCATACAAAAGATTTTTTGTAGCTTTTTATTGCCTATAGGGAGTAGGTGGGTCTTTGCTTAAAGACACATCTGTCAGTGTTTTTATCCCCATGTCACCTTCCATTTTGCTCAGCTCAGGCAGTAAGGTGTCTTTCAGCCAAGCAGATCTTGCAGTGACAAATATTGCACGAAACAATTCCCATATCACCTGTTGAAACTGTAAGAGAGTTTCCCTTGTAAAGGCAAAGCTTTAAAAGCTCACTCACTTTCTCAAAAATGTTATTACTTTGTCCATCTGAATTAAGGTACTTCAGTGAATGATCTCCAAGATGATACACTTGGGAGGGTGAAATTAATGTTGAAACTCAGGTCCAGAACACTAGAATATCAGCTCATAGGATCCCTGTGGGTCTTTTTGTTATGTTAATTATTCTTTATGTTCTCACATATTCTTTATGTCCTCACATTTACAAGGCTTCACTGTGCAGGGCACTGCATATGACATGAGGTGGTCCCTGTCTCAGCAAGGGAGTACATGAAGTGAGTACACAAGAAGTAAAAAAAAAAAAAAAAAAAGGAGTTTGTTTTTTTTTAAAAAATCATCCTTGCTATTATGAAATGTAACAGAAAAATCAAATTCAAGATAATCTCATTTTACTTTGAAATGAGTTGAGAACTGATTGATAAAGGTAACTTCACAGACATGATATAATTTGAATTTCATAAAGCATTTGGCATTTTAAGACACTCTAACTTAAGAACTAGATGCAACAAATGTCACCCAGAAAAACTTTAAACACATTAAGGACGGATAACTATCAGATCACAAAAAGCAGTAGTCAAAGGAAGGTAACCCTAAAGGAAAATATTCCTAGAGAGATTGCAAACAGCCGAGTTATAAGCCTATTACATATTTTTATCAGTATTTTATATGGATATTAAAAAAAATAAAATCACTATTGGCACCCTATTTCAAAAGAGGGTATTGAAATATTGGGGAAGCTGAGGAGCTGCAGAATGATCTTGAGAGTAGGAGGAACTCCCTCAGAGAAGGAAAGGCAGGTTTCATATCAGCCAGCAGGACACAATGCGGAGATACCCCAAGGCTGACTTGGGATGAAGCACACCTATGTCAGTACAGTAATTAGTCATGGTTAGAAGATGGGCTAATGATGTTTGATCCCTGCTGAGCCCTGATGAAAAACAGGGTTAATCAGGCTCAGGCTGTGTCATGCACCTTTCTGTCTTTTTTCCGTCCTCTTGTTGAGTAAGTTTCCCCTGTAAAACAGACTGAAACTTCTTCCATCCTGCTGTGTTTCATTTCCAGCAAAAAGGTCTTAGAAGCCACGGGAGTAAAACCAAAGGTATCTCTGGAAAAGACCCAGGGGGATGCCATGAGCTGATATTCTAGTGTTCTGGACCTGAAACACAGTTGCAACTGCCTCACACATGGAGGGCTAATAATCTAGACTTAAACATGCAATGCTGTACCTGAAAACAGGGTTACACCGTGCCCTTTCAAGTGTTTCAGGTGCATGAACACAATGAACATGCTCATAGGTGAAAAACATGGTCCACTCCTTCCTCTTCCACAATCCAAATTGCTCTAAGATGCATCACCAGCTGTTTTTTCCATAGGAGAGAATCTTTTTCTCCCATCCATTTCCTAGAACTTCATTCCATACAAATAAATTTGTCACTTCTGAGCACAATCAAGACTCTTGATCTTAACACCAATTCTGCCCTGGTGACTCAGTCTGAAGTTCATTGCAAAAGTAGGAGCTTTTTATTATCAAAAGGAAGATAATCCCAAGCATTTTCTGAGCTGCTGTGACCAGACTCTTCGTGTATCACAGCTCCACAGTGCAGGGTTGTTACTGTGAAAGAGAGCCTTTGGCAGCGACCTTCCCCCAGAAGACCTCTAGGATTTTTGATGATGAGGAACCACTTTCTCAGGACAATCCCTGCAAAAACCATATGCAGGAAAGTGTTGAGCAGTTGCAAAAAGTATGTCTGTAAGGGATCTCAAAAGGTCCTCTTCCATTGCCCTATTTTACGCAGATAGCAGCCTCTTCCCATCTTATGAAACACTGAAAATGCAAGGCCATCTTTCAGGAACAGTCAAGGCAGGTGAAGATGAATGAGACAGGGCAGTCAGCAGCAACTCCAAGAGGAAATGAAAGGAAAGTTGGGCAACATGACTACTACTTAGGCTGAATATAGATGGTTCTGTTAATAGCAGCTCAGAGGACTTATCTGACCACCTGAAACAATGATGACCTAATTCAGGGGTATTTTTTATTGATGGTGAAAACTGTGTAGATTTTTACAACACTGATAGTAACTTAAGAAAGATATTTTCAAAGATTAGTGAAGAAAGACAGTTAAAAAAAACCCTCATAGTGGACAGACAATCAAATCAGGGATGACAACCTTCAGTAATTAAGCAAGACCAACACAATGGATTAGCTATTTACCAGAGAAATTCCAATTCAAGGGATTGCTGTTTTGCCAGACAGAAAAAAAACCATATAAATACTGGTTTGATTCACATTTTAATGTGCTACATATTTTATTATTATCTTACACAACACTATATTAATTTATATGGAATATATATATATATCAATTGGTAAAGTAACAAGGTAACAAAACTAAACACAAATTTGCTGCTTTGAAGTTCATTTTGGATTAAATCACTGGTAAATTCCAATCTGTTCTTCTGAACAGTCATGTAAATAGGATGAATTGGAGTCCAGCACATTCTCAGGATGATGTGATTTCTACTGCAAGTATCACTGGCAAGCATCAAACATCTTGATCTCACCAGATAACAGACAACCCAAGAAATACCACATGGAAGGTTGAAGCTAGTGGGAAGTGGCTAATAATTCCGCTGCTTCCTCCGTGCCACTGCCAAGTGCAAGGCGCGAATAATCAACTTCTCATTATTCAGGATGTTGTAATCAGTCAGATTCACCAGTTTGTCAAAATTCTCTTCACTGAAACACACTTCCCTTGTTGTAAATGGGGAGAGGATGGTGGAGACATCAACTTTGCCTTCAGCCATCTCTTCAGGACTCCTTTCCACACCTGAGGGACAAATCACAAGAAGATGCACCAATAAGCTTTTACTGCAGTATGTGGCTCATATCAGTCATTTAAGTAATTATAGGTAGAAAAGGAAGATTTGGAGGGAAAGAAATGATTTTCCAGAGGGACGTAAGAGTAGTAGAGCAGCACCATATTCGTCAGCCTCTGGATCAAGCCTCTGTCCAAAAATGATATAAACCCAAAGAGCTGAGAATGAGAACAAGATTGGTTATCAGCAGCAGCACTTGTAGACTAGTCCGTGGACAACACAAAGTCTTTGTAACCCAAACTAGAAAAGTGCAAGCAAAAGAAAAACAAGGTACTCTTGTACTGGGTGAAATAACAACTCTCTCACAGAAAGTTCAGGAGAAATGATGGCACTCAGACAGAGGGCATAGTTCATATTAAAAACAAAGATCTCTGTCCACTCAGCTTTCAATCTGGGACATTACTTTTAAATATGTGAACAAAACCCAGATGAGTCAGCTACCACCAAAACCTCCAGAAGGTTTTGCCTCCATCTTTGTTTGCAAGCAGTGGTGCATAACAAGTCCATGTCTGTAGAGTAAAACAGCTTGTGTTGAGGACCTACCACCCATGCTGTACGTATTTTGGGAGTTTTACCTTCATACTAGCTCTTCTAAGTCCTGTGGAGTCAATGCCTATTTTCATCTCAAATGTATTAGGAAAGTTTCTGGAGTTCTCACAGTTCAGGCATACTGACACAGACCAGTTATTTTTGACAGTGATGAGACTGATAATGCCAGCATTGGAAAGAAGGTCAGAGATGACAGAGCGATGTTAGATATGAAATGGAGAGGACACACTAGGCAAGTGACTTTTTATTAAAATTGCTAGCCACAGATGACTTACCAGGAGCTTTATATTTCTTGAAGGTGTCATTTACTAGGGGGAAAAAAAGCACTGTTGGAGCATGTGGACTTTCAGCATCTTCAAACACATAGCACTCCTTCAAGTTTTCCCTGTCTTCCTCACTTATCTCAATTTTGGGAAATGGAATTCCTTGCCCCGAGATGTACTTTGCAATCTGATCCAGAGGCTGGATGAACGAATAAAATAATGTTAATATTAAGAATCAAAACTCAAAAAAGATCCAGAGACCTGGATTTTTCAGACTCCAGCAGCTAACATTCTAAGGCTTGAATCTTCCTCTGGGAAGATGTTAAGTTTCAGACGGAAACAGCCATAACCACACTACACATTACAGCTTATCTTATTTTCTGCATTGCTTTAGGCAAAACAAGAAAACAGTCACTTTCTTTGAGCTTGTAAATGGAGCCAAAAGCCATAGGACTGATTTTATAATTCCAATGAAACAGGTTCAGAAGGGGAAGGCAAAGAAACTGCAGGAATGGAGAAGGAACACATCAGTCCAGCTCATTCTGCGTCATTGTCTTGACTACATTATTTACCACTTTCCCAATCTTTCTGTCCTCTGCATAGTTTGTGATTGTTTGATAATGACTCCCTATTACGAAATTTATCAACGTACCTTATGACCTCATGAAAACAAAATTTTAACAGCTATATTTACCATAAGCCTATGTTTATTTTTATATTCTTCTCATTATATATGCAACACTAATTATATTATTTTTCATTATTAATCAAGTCCATCATCAGCCAGTACATTTCCCTAAGACTGATATGAGATAAACAGGCCCAGAGACACACAGGTTTTCTCATTTAATCTGTTAAAATATTGTCAGGACTTTCCATTGCCTCTGTAACTTGTTCAGTTCAAGGATAACCAAAACCAGTATCAGAGCTCCAGAATGCTCCTCAGTCAGCTGTTCAAAAACATTTGGATCCATTGCAGTGAAGATCTTGATGATTTTAAAATGCCTATATCCGTCACTGTCTTCTAATATCCTTATTATTTACTGAGAAATAAATCACCTAATAATCTAAACAATAAATCAAATAAAAAACATCTAATTCCCATTCCGGTACTGGAAAATTAGTTGGTTTAACTGATGAGTGCTAGAGACCAAAAGACCGTGAAGGAAAAAGATCTCAGAGACCATGGCTTTTCTTACCAGTGTCTGGGACCCTCCACTGTAATTCAAATGCAGGATGACATCCACCTCCCTCTTTGATCTCAAAAGTGGGGGGTAGCTGGTATTGATGAAAAAACCAGTATCAACCAGGGAGAGCTCATCGTCTGCTGTTTCCATCAGTTTATTTGGGAAACTGTGTCTGAAACACAAACATTTCTCATTACAACACATAAAAAACAAGACTGAGTGCTCCTCTGCAGAGAGTTAAAGAGAGGAGAATGGAGAATTTTGCCCCCCATTTTCCCTGCCTTCCTTTGACTCACTAGCAGCACTGATTTACAGGAGTAAGTGACACACTACCACTTCTTCCTTCCTTCCTTCCTGGACACCTCAGGCAGCTTTGGCCCTAAAAGGGAGATCCCTCCTGGCTCCTCAGGCTGTGCTCACCTTGTCCACTGGAACACCATCTCCAGACAACCAAATTCAATTTCACCCTTCAACCCCCCCCAAAAAAAAAATGAAATGCTGTTCAAATCTGGCTTCTATGTCTTCCATTTGTGGAAGGGAGAAGTGGCGTTTCAGAAGTCAGTCTTGCCTCTTCCTCCTTGTTGGAAATCCTAAATGAATTCCGAAACCTAAACCTCAAAATGTTACTAAAAAACATGCTGTGTTACTGTGCCTTTCCAGGTAGAAAATCCTTCACTCTCCAGGTACTTGCTATGCATCTGGAAGCCTCTGATAAAATTGGGGTACTGTGCAATGGTTGGGCGTCCTGTTAAGACATCTCGCAGAGCAGAGGAGAGGGCGCTTGAGGGAGTGAATAGACATGTGTCTACCTCATAGGGATTCATGGACAGAAAGGGTTCTTCCTCTGCAAAAAGGAAAGATGAAGTTCTGAGTTTAGGGCAGCTTTCTGAAATTATCAATATTTTTTAAAAAATTTAGTAACTAATAAACACAGTCGTCACCATCTTCCACCCCGAAGGTAAATCATAAAATCATAGAATCGTTTAGGTTGGAAAAGACCTTTAAGATCATCCAGTCCAACCATGAACCTAACATTACCAAGTCCACCACTAAACCAATCAAGGGTAGAGTAGCAATTTCATCATAGTTATAAGCTCTTAAGATCTATACTACCAAATAAAACTCAGCATTAGACAGTGAATTAAATGCCAGCTACCTGCAGGCAGCAAGCTGCCAGGCACTCAGCACCACCTCCCACTCCAGGCTTCCTCGAACGATGCCCACCTCTATTGCAGCGTGTGGTGCAGGGGAGAGCTGAGTCCCAAAACATACAGGAGGACAACATTGGCTTTTGCAAAGGACACCTTCAGAAAGCCTGTGAATATCACCCAGCTGCAAACATTAGCTAAGTTAGGAGGCCAGTCACTCCAGGCTCCTTGTGCAATTAACAGCAAGAGCAAGCTTTCTCCGTGGGCAGTTTTGTGGAGAAAACAGCCCTCTGCAAGAGATGTTTTCTCTACTGACTGTATGAGTGGTTAAGGAGGACCATATGCTAACTTAACAATCTTAAGATGTGTTCTTAATACAACATTATTTTTAAGTGTCTGCTGGAGACTGGTTTTGTGTCTGCATGTCCTTCACAAAAAGGCACAGCTTTGCCAAAGTTTTGCCAAAAGCAGCACAGTTTAGTTGTTCTAAATCAGGCAGAAAAATTTCTTAGCCGACATCTCTGCTCTGGTTTCCTCATCTCTCTCCCCCTGACTTCAACAGCATCTCTTTAAGCATTAGACCTCTGCACAGAATGTAAGCAATATATACTGGTAGTAAAACAAACAAACAAAAAAACCCAACACAAACACATCTCACCAATATCTTTTACTCTGTCTCTGGTCCATCTACACCAGAAGTCCTCTGAATCAGTAGCCAAATTCCAGACATACATCACATCTATGGAAAATATACTACTCCACATGCCTGTAATGAGAAAGAGAGAATAGAAACTGATGGAGTAGTCTTGGAAGAATTTTAATTGATACATACCTTCAGTCCTTCCCTTTGGATGCTTCCTTTCCGTCTGGATGGATATCTTTCTGGCCATACTTCCTAAGTATGTCCTTGCTAATGCAAACTCACACCTGCTCAACCTGTTTGCTAGTGTCTTCCCAGGGCTGTCCACCACAGACCATGTGCTCACTCACGCCGGCTGCCACTTGAATAGGCCACCTTCCCGCTAAGCAATAGTCACCTTGCATGTAGCATATCCGAGTCTCTGAGAGCCTCTTCACCAGCCTTCCCATAAAGAATTCACTTCCAAAATGTTCTGCGCGAACAGATGCGCCGTATTTCAGGAGACCGACTTCATAAGGAGTGAACTCCAGCCACTCTACGGTGACAGCAGTCAGATCATGAAAAGGCAATAATGTGTTAACTACTGCTAAACAGAAAAGTACTAGAGAGCAGGAACAAATCATGAGAAAGACACTGGCTAGTTCGTAATATGCTGTTCCCTAGCTATAGCAGTACTATTGCCTTGAGAGAATATACATCTTTTGGTACAGCAATCTCCAGCAGGAAAGCCCTCATCTAAATGAAACCATAACTGCTCTGTGCAGATAATACCCCAAAAGGCGTGTATTGCTCAGTTATAACTTGTTCCCTTAAGGGTACCAGTGACAGAGGGCTTAGCATTCACCTGGTGTCATGTACTCAGCTGCTCATATTAAACAAACACTGTGAAAATTAATACTAGAGAAAATAGTGATTTTCCTGCCACTGGACCCCAAAATTCAAAGTTTTCCCTTTAATTGTTCAAAATAAGACCACGTGGAACCATCATAAAAATTAGTTTTGTTACAAGGTTTTTGTGACCAGAATAAATTGTGAGTTTGGCATCTGCTGTGGTATAAATATATTTTTGCTTCTGGCAGTGTAGAGAACTCAGATTCTAAAGACTAGAAATGTTTGGATTTTTTAAGTGTTAGTCACCATTACGTGAAAATTTTAAAAGGGCTTTTTTGCTGTTAGAATGAAAGGACTGTTGTATTATTAAAGCTGATTACATGAATTTAGTCTTAGGGCAGATTACTTAAATTATAGACTTCTTAAGAAATCTAGATCATAACCATTACCTCTGAATGCCTGAGCACTATAGCTGGACTTGAGGTTGATGGCCACATAGATGGGCAATGGGTTCTGACCATTATCCACAGCCTGTCGTTGGTCCGAGAGTCTATGCTCATCTTTCTGGTTTTGATTAAAAAATGTTAATGGAACGAAGTGAAAAACAACTTGCACTTGAAATAATATAGTGTGAATTATGAGCTTTATCCAGGTTCTCCTTCCCATTCTCATCTCACTGGATTGTACAGAAATATCTGCCATGGGATATTCCAAAATTGGCAAGTATCCCATAAACAGCAGCTACACCCTGTATGGGTTCTCAGATTTTGAGATATGCAGAGAGGTTGACTGTAGATTCAGCAAGGGAAAAAAACATTCCCAGGAAGAAATATGTGGCTAATTGAAGGGTAAGGTACTTTCCTTGGCTGGATCTCAGGGGACAGAGTTTACCATATTTTAATATACTTTGCAAATATATTCATATCCAAGAATAAATTCTATTGCACATGACCATTTAAAATTTCCTCGTATATAAACCAGAAGGAAACTACTTAATTCATACTATTTTTGAAGTACCAAAATTTCTATCATTCTTTCTTTAAACTTGATAACATGTTTACAGAATGGTCTTTCCTGCTATTTCAACCATCTCCACATGCAGTCTATAACTAAGTCATTTTATAAATGCATATATTCATTTATGCTAGTGAAGTTATTTCAAAATTTTAAGTGCCTCTTCTAGTCAGAATATTTCATGTCCAAAGTGATTAGTTTACATTTCAAAATAATTTTTTCTCAGGATTTTTCTTTCTTTAAGAAGAAAGAACACCTTTGACTGCAATGCCATGGCTCCTTCAGTTCAAGGATAACCTCACTTTATACCAAGCGTACTGTTTTAATAATGGATCTGCATATACAGAATTTAATCAACCACTAAATTAATTATTTGCATTAGTGGTACTGAATGGCATCCCAGGGTTTATTTTCTTCTCCTTTATAGCTACAGAAGTTCATCAGGTTTCTGGAAAAAAGGAGTAATACCTTATCATGTAGCATGGATTCAATGACAAGCCCCCAAAGGTCTATGAAAGAAGTATTATGTCCTTCTTTAGTCCTCTCCATCAGGTCATTATAATAGTACTTAAGACAATCCAAAGAAAAACAGCAGATCTTGGATTTGGTTACTTGCTTGCGAGCTTCCTTGATTGCATCCTCCAGATATTTTTGTGACCAATTAGCATCTTCATATAAGTTTGCCATTGTCCTGAAGAAACATTAGAAGAAAATAATGAAAGAGAACCAATGCTGTGGTTTAGCTTCAGAGAACTTTTGTGTAACCTGCTTGCCTGTTTCTCAATTCATACGGGGTTCACAACTGAAAATTAAATACACCTTAAATACTCTCATTTCAAGAGCAAACAAAACCTCCAAGCTTTCCTGGTTTTGATGATAAAAGTTAGTGTGGGCTCAAAAATGGTCTGAGAAATTCAACAGAGAAAAAAAATCCACCCAAGGCTATTAAACACAAAGACTCCACAAGTCCTCAGAAAATCCATTTCTTGGAAGGTGGGAAGTATTCTACGGAACAGTCACTACTAGTTTGCTCTAGTCTCATACTTGTTGCCAGTATCCACTACTGGCTCCTACCAGTGAGAGAACTGGGCAGTTCTTGGGTCTTGGGCATGTCCTGGTACAATCATTCTTACTTGTCTCCTTGAAATCATAACACAGACAGGTACACTCAGACCTCCGCATACATATGGAGAACTTAAAAGAATTTTGGCAAATACTTAGATAAACCTGCCATTATGGTTTGTACTTATATAAAGGACTGATACACAGTCAGTGCAAAAACACCTGTCTCCACTTCCAACAAGGTGTAGAGGAGTGGAGCTACATGAAACCCACATGATTAAATACTTAAGTTATTTTAAATATGACATCATCTGCCATATGCTCACTGGGAGAAGAGAGCACTTTATAATGAGCAACCATAGCTGCAGTCTCTCTGAGGTCAGTAACTTGGCGTCATTTGTTGGACTGTCTACAACAGTATTAACTCCACTAGCCCCAAATACACCTTTTACCAGAGGGAGATGCACTCTAAATCCAAAATGGAAGTGAGAATAACCAGCAAATGGCAGGCATAAATTCTTCTTCCCATCTTTCTTCAATTTCCAGTCTAAAGACAAATTCGTTGCATTCAGTCTAAGGCATAATTGATAAAATATGAAAAGGTAATAGAGCATTTACATGAAAATATCAGACATAGACTTTGTCAGTGTGGTGACAAGAGCAGCTGATGAATGTGACAATTGATCTCTTAGTATGTCTTGTTTCTTTGCTCTACATGAACACAGAGGAGATTGTGGGGGAAGTGGAAATGCTTTTGATTCACTAAATACCATATAAGCTGATGGTGGTGTACAAATAGTCAACAGTGTTAGGCAAAGAGAGCGCAAACATAAACTTTGTTTGGGTCATTCTCACCATGTGGTACCCGATAAACCACCGATGTAGGAAATGCAGTCTAACAGATTGAGTTTCTGGAGACCCAGCAGGCTGCCATACATCGCTGTCAGTGATCTCGTCCCTCCCCCAGTTGTCGTGATGGCCACCACCGGCACCTGTTCAACACAGCCAGGCATAAGGAGCAAAATCCATGTATATATTAGAGACAAGCAATCCTTCTTACTGCAGGAATCAGATAACAGGTTACAGGCATTGATACAAGCAGTGACGTTATTTCATGCAAAAAGGATGCGATTGTTGCAAAAGGCTTCTGTTGCCACCACCTGACTGATGGGAGAAGGAAGGCTTTTATCTTACCCACTCAGACCGGGTGGGCAGGAGGTTGTTTACTTAATATATAATTGAAAATCAACCTCATCACCCTGGAATTCTTCTCAAAGTGTATTATTAGAAGCTGCCATAGAAAATACAGGATTTACCATGCCAGAGCAGATTAGGGATCCGTGATTCTGCCTCTAACAATGACCAGTGTCTCAGAATAACACACAGCACCCTGTAATCAGCCAGACCACACAATAGCTGAAGCCTTCCTGGCCTCAGGCCACTAATTACTTTATGTCCTGAAGCACAACCATTGATAGAGCTTCTCCCCCTCCAAGGTCCAAATGTAACTGAAGAAACAGACTATTCTTCTCAATCTTTTTCTGATCAAGTACACCCTTTGCTTCCATTGGTATCTTGGGTTGTGTGGTTGCCTACATGCCCTATGGAAAAATATCTATTTATACCTTTTAAGTATTAGCTTCTAATTTCATCAAGCTATCTGCTGTTCTAAAGTCAATGAATAGAGCTTGAAGAAAATATTTCTCCCATTCTATGAAATTAAAAAAAATAAAAACCAAAATAGATGTTCTTCCTACCATAAACTTTTTAAGAACTTAAAATCCAGGAAATTTTATGAAATAATAATGAGGAAAAGTCTGATCATGTTAACTAAAATTAGGATAATTTCAAAAAGTTATATTTTGATTTTTACATTTTCTAACCTTTTCATTATGAATTAAAATTAAAACGATTTTTTTTTCCCCCAGTTCAAATGTAAGTGACTTAACAAGGTAGAGGGGATTTATTTCCACAGTTTTAAAGTTAAATACATGAATAGTAGAGCCAGAGTAATTAGACCCTCTCAAAAGCCAGCTTTGGTCTTACCACCTCAACCACTTTTCCATGTGTCAGGAAACTCTTAGACAGCTACATAAAAATGTTCTTTCCAGCTTTCTTGAAAACTTTATTTCCTGTATTATTCTCTGCTCTGAAATCTAAAATATGACTTTTTAAAAATCTGTACCTTACTGACAGCACTATTTCTTTTAATTGTCAGCTCAAGAGGATTCTTGGTGTTGGTATGTTTGTACTTCTCTGATTTTCAACAACCCAGCTAGGCATAAGCAGTTACAAAACTTATGACTGAATTACGGAGGCAGGAGTGGGGCTACAGTGATAAAGCTACACTTTTAATCAGCTATTTCATCTATACAACCCAATGATGCTGTAAGATTCACTCTTCTTTTCCAGCCTGATAGTTTTATTCTGGTAGTCAGTTTTCCCAGCAATACACCTTTTCTGCTGCAGAAACCACCCAAAGGACTTTTATTCAGATGTCTGTGTGAAAATTTTTGCTTCCTCCCCTCAAAATCCTTCACAAATGCCATAAGCACCACCTTGCCTCTGTTACTGAGCTAAGGTACACTATTTCCCAGGCAGCATCTCCCAGCTGTTCCATGTCTGTCCACTATAAATATTCCTCCTGAGACCCATGAGCAATATCAAGAATAAACAGGAATGTGTTGAATTGAGGACCTGTTGAGAAGTTTTTGGGGCTGCCTTCCCCGCTCTGCTGCATGAACCAGCTACTGCTTCTCTTGCTCATCTCTTTCCGTAGATGGCCAGCTTGCCCTAGGTGGCCAGGCCTGCCCTAGAACAGCAGGATTAATTAAGCTGGGTTTTTGTTTGTGGTTTCAATTTGTGAGCCAGGCCCCGATCTCTGGAGAGGAGTTGCTACCAGGGACTCTATTGTCTTGCCTCATGCTCTTTCAGATCCTCCTCCAAACGAAGAATCTTTTTCAGAGCAGCAGCAACATATTTCTTCCTTTTCCGCAGGAAGTCCTGCTCTTCCATGCACAGACTAAACCCCAAACGCACATCCAGGTCTCCTGAGCTGGAACAGACAATGGGACAAATCAATGCACATGTCATTTATAGCTGATTTCAAGACCTGTAGGGCAGGTAGTCAGTAAACTCCACAAACCATCTGTAAAACAAACTATTTCCAAGTCTGCATATTGATCAAGGAACAGAAGAAAAAGAAGCATTTCTATTGCCAGCAAGGAGTAGTAGTGAGGATGAAGAGAAGTTTGCAAGGTGCTTTAGACTTCTGATGAACATGGGCGCAAAGACAAGACACACAAGCCAGGGAAAGATCACCAAAAGGGGGAATTTCAGGAGTAATTTTTGCTGTATCCATTCCTTTTTGTTACCATGACATCCTGGAAAACCCACATCATGCCACCATCACCTCTTCTCAGGTTTTCACAGCTCACTAACAGTATTTAAAGTGAAGGTCCTAATGAGCTGTGTGATGGAACTTGAACTGCAGAGCAAGTCCTGCAGCATCACCTGCTCAGCCTCTATCCCGTGAAATCCAGCCTTTCACCTGTGTGCTGAACAGATTTCTAGATAAGCATTTGCAAACTTCATTCTGCAAATATATAACAATATCCATCATCATGGTTGGACCGGATGATCTTAAAGGTCTTTTTCAACCTAAACGATTCTATGATTCTATGATTTTTTCCACATGGACAGCCACACTGTATTTTCTCCCTTGAGAAGTGTGAAGCACAAGCCAAAAAATTTGCAGAAAAAAAGGTACTAAAACCAATCAAATGGCAACTAATATTTTGTGCCTTCAACGACACAAATATACTCATTACTGAGAAGACGACTCAATATTGACCAAATCTTCGGGTCACATCACCCTCTGGTGGCTGCAAACTCTATCCTGAACATTACTTTTGCCAATATTTCACAAACACAAATGTTTCAAGGGTTAATGTTAGCAACCTCTGTTCTCCAGCAAATTTGGTATATCACAGTTTAATTTTGAAAACAGAATAAGGTCAAATGATTGAACTTATAAAAGAAAACAAGTCTTTTAGTGGTAGATTAAAATTTCTCTTGCTCACTTGCTCTCTCTATAAACCTGTATCTCCTAGATTTACATTTCAATATATTTTATTATGGGTTGAAACTGAGCAGATAGCTCTTCTTCATATGATCTGAATTTTGTCTGCACAGACTGCTCCCATGCTCTGAACATCCGCCTTGCTTCCCTTCTGTATATTATCCCATACTAAGGATGCTGTGAACCATATGAAGTTTTCAGCTGTACCACAAAACCTCATTGTCTTCCATTTTACCTATCACTGGTGCAATTCTGTCCCTGCGAGTAGGCAGGTAGAGGTGCAGCTGCTCAGGTCCCAGCTCCCATTCTGCTCAGTGAAGCAGGAAAAGGGGCAGAAGCCAGGCTGCCCTATGTTTGTTTTGGTGACTTTGCAAAGTTAAAGAGGAATAGAATTTATTTCAGTCATTATGCAGATCTGACTGTTGCCATAAATGGGAAAAAAAAATTAGTATGTGAGTAGTGCAGTTTTACTCATGTCTAAGAATAGTAGTCATAAAATAGGCTCTGAAGAAACCTACCAGGGCTTATAAACTCATACTGAACTGCATGATCCTGTAACTGCAGCAGACTTGCACTTACCTCAGGCACCACGTGAGTACAGGACAAGGCACTCACGCGGCATGTGTTCATCTCTCCACCTATCATAGAAAAAAACCTAGATAACTAGTTTACAGTAATCCTGGATGATAGGACAAAAAGAGGCTATCTTACCATTTTCTTGCTGTCAAGCACAAGTCAAAGGAATGATCCTAGAAATACAGAAAATAAAGCTAATTAACATCAAATTTTGAAACATTTCTTTCCTTCAAGTTCAGACAAGACTCATTCAGTAAGAGAGGAGGTTCTCAAATAATAATTCATATGGCTAAGGACATTATTTTGGTACAATTAACCAAAGTCTCACTCCCTGCTCTGGAATCAAATTCTCTCTTATCTAGTAAGCCTGTCTGTTTGGGGCAGTTAGCATGCCGTAAGCTTGCATGTTACACCACACCAGCTCACAGTGTGCACACTTAGAAGAAGCAACAAAAATGAGACAAGTTACCTTATTAAAAAAAAAAAAAAAGAAAAAAATTACATACAAAAGAACTCTCAATATCATATTTAGACAAGTTAAGAGCTGAATTAAGCTGGTATTCTGGACTGTTTTTTTTTTAAATTCCTAGCCATTCTGGAATTACCCCAATACCCAAAAAGAAATTTTGGAATACATGTGCATATGACCATAATTTTTGTTCCTTAAAACCACTTAATTCTAATTTTGGGATGCAGGTTTGCAATGATTTTCATATTATTAGAATTATTAACACCTGCTTCCTTAAAAGTGAGTATGACAGTCTTAATTTTTTTAACATTTTCAAAAAATAGCTGTACAGTTTTACACAGTGATTTTGTTCACCTGGTAACTTTATTTCTAGCAGGACAATATTAAGCACATTATGAAAATACTTATTTCAAAAGGTTCACAGCACTCACCTCTTCTACTATTATTTCCTTCTGCAAAGGGAGTGAATTCAGAGGGAAAGAAAGGACCCCAGATTTCTCCGTTTCATTTTTATCTGCCAGCTGAAACAATGTAAAAAGTGGTAGGAATGTGCACATGAAAAGTTTATCATCTCTAGAACTTCTCCTACTAAGAGGGCTAGTTCAGTTCACTGGTTACATTACTTTCTTCTTCTAATTTCATTGAGGTTACTGATAACATATAGAAGGGGAACATACCTCTTCTGGTAATGTGATATCCAGTCTTGTCTGGTCATTTATGACGCAGTGAAATACTATGATCCTAAGGCTGGGGTCAGAGTCCAGCAAAATCTTCTGGCTTCCTTCATGAGATCCTTTCACTGTAAATGTAAGCTCCTGGTCTAAACACAGAGGCAGGGAACAAAGAGAGTTTTAACTATTCCAAGCAAACACACATAACTAATAAATAAAATCTGCTTCTACTCCGCACGCTTTTTGTCCAATTTTCCTAACACCACGATGATTAAGTAGACTTTGGGTGGCCGAAACAGACTGAAAACTGATATAAAACATCTTGGTGGATCTGTATGAATCATTAATATACAGAAATCACGTATTTTTTAAATACTGTAGTGTGCTATTTGGTAGGTGCTTTCAATGAATAAATAAAACCAAGATTTAGATTTAAAGGAGTGTCAGTTTAAAGGCATTTTGGATTATTCACATTGAATAAGAGAGTCATTTTTTTGACGTCAGTCTGTTCTGGTTCATTGTGTACATTTTATTGTATGTTGTGTCCACTACAATAGTCAAATGATTCAAACCCAAAAATCAAGCAGACTACTTGACATGTGCCCTCATGTCACCAAAACTGAAACAACCTCTCAACCAAAAGGCTGTGTTTCTTGTACAGCAAAGCCTTTACGTTAACAGAGAGATCGTATGCTATTGCAAGATAAGGGCCAAGAGGCATATAATTTTAGGTCACTAATCTTTCCTCCCCATTTTACATTTCAGTCTGAATCTTCCTATAATGCAACTCAGCCATTGCTACAATTTTTCCTGAAGATCAATTTTTGGTTCATGAATTATCTTGAAACAGCCATGATCTTTTGAGTCTTGCCCCATGAGCAGCTTTCAACAAGCTACTGTTTATTTAAATGAACTTAAAGACTAGTAAAGAGTTCTTCTATATTTATTAGAGCTACATTTTACAGACAAAGTCCTGATTTGGTGGTGGTTTGCATTTTATGCAGACCCCTTTGATACAATTTTACATTTAAACTTAAGAGCTTAAGTTTATTTTTTTTACTCAAGCAACTGAAAAAAACCCTCTTTTAGAACCCTGAATATGCAGAAACTTTGTACATACTCAAACCCAAATTAAACATATAGGATAAGATTTCTACATATTAATTTAATTATAAGATAATTTTAAAAGAAGATCCAACTTAGTTAAAAATTTTCATTTTGAACAAGCGATAAACAGAGCTAATAATTTTTTCCAAGTTTTTAATTCTAGCATATATGGCTCTATTTTTGCACCACTTTAAGATTTGCCTGAGAACTAAATACTTGACTAACTTGAATTTTGACAGATACAATCTTTTTGCAAGGTGGGGCATGACGAAACTAAGTATTACGTGATACAGCTAGAGTAACATGCGCAACAGATTATTAATTTTTCAACATCTGTTATAACAACTGAATCACAACACAAAAACAATAGGTTAATGAAGCAATAACCTCACTTGTGGATTGCTGCTTCAGCTTCCCTGTATCCACTCTAACCTCCAAACGGGAAACCTCACGTGCCTGTAGCAAGACAGGATAAATGACAATTGAGAGAAGTGTAAATGTCATTGCAAGTGATTCATACTGTTCTCAAGCAACCCCTCTAGGTGATCAATGAGCAACACAATTATTATCTATTACTGTCTTCAGATAACATGAGGGCAATAGTGACATTATTTTTTTCTAGAGTTTGAAAGAGGAACAACTCATGAGCTGCTTGAACCTGGAGACACAGTTAAGTAAAGAAGATGAGACCTATTAAAAACAATAGGCATATTGAGATATGAGACTATTCTTATGAGCGTTTTATCACTTTCTTCATTAAGCCCTGATAGTTCTGGATGCAATGTGGGAATAACGGGTAGGAAATTCAAGTTTAAAGAAGAAAGTAGGTGGCACATGCATGCTGAAAGCAGCCTCACAGCATGCCTTTGCAGAAGGTTGCACTGCACTGGAGTGATGGGAAAACAGTGATCCTTAGTGCCAACAACAGGTCCTTTTTCTCAGTAGGACAGTGTGGCTGATAGTACTGGCTTTGGGACACAGCTCAAAGTTTACAGAGTTAAAAATATGAATACTTGTTATGCAGGCACAGGAAAGATGGTAAGAAATATACATTACCACTAGGACTCCATTTGTAATAATGCCATCAGGATAATCCAGACTGAAAAATAAAACAGAAAATATAATGTCATGGGTGGGACAACTCAGATAAATATTTAAGTCTATGAGTTAACACATTATTCATTTTCACCCCATTAACTTTGACGTTTCTGACTTTAACATTCTCACTCAAAAAAACTTTAAAGCTTTTATCAGGCATAGTTCTAGATGGTAAGCTGAGTTGCAAGTTTTTCAATCCACCCTTGACAGAATATGAAATCGGCTTTTACTCTTGTGGTTTTTCATACTTGCTTTAGTAAACCATGTAATGAATTCTGATACGTGACATACTGAGCCTGAGGAGAGCTGGAGGCTGTTACATCCATCTTGATTGTTTTGATCATTACATAGTCTGACCCAAGGTTTTGTACTTGAAAATCTAATACACTTGTCTAGGTTTCCACAATTTTCCAAAAATTACCATAACGGTGGAAGAAATTGTACTCACCTCTATAAAGTGATTTGCAAAACACACATGAGATTTTAATATATCACTATATGTGTAGATGTGTTTCCACTTATCCATCTAGGGGTAGAACAGGCTTCATATACTGCAAACACCAATTTTTATATTCTTAAATATTTTTCCCTCATAAAAATCAGGCAATGTCTCATTAAAGATTATAATTTACCATTTTATTAAATTGCAGATGTAAATTCATACAGTATCTCAATAACTCAGATTAGTCCAAAGGGAATACATATATACATAAAATTATAAGGATTGAGCACCAACTCCTCAGCCTGCTGCAGACAGTATGAGTTGTTTATTCAGATTTTACAAGCTATGGATTACGCACTCTGTAGTCTCACATAGTTATATAGTTGAGGTACGTATTTCATCTCAGCTGAAACCAGGCAATACGCTTTCTTTAAGATCAGATGAATGACATTGTTATTATCCATCTTAAGAGAAGGTTTATCGCAACTATTAGATTTTGGTATAAACACACATGAAAACAGCTTTGTAAAATTTCCCATGACAAAGAATTCTCCCAAAATTTCAAAGCTCATAACAGTTTAAAGTTTCATTTCCAAAACAGTATTTTCCTTTAAGAGAAAAATATGAATTGGCTAAATACAGTGCAGAACACTCAGGAAAAGCTTTACTGTAAAAAAAACAAAAAAAAACAAACAAAAAAAAAAACCCAAAAAAACACC